GGCTTATCTATAATAGAATATATAAATCGTAATAATTTATAAATCAGCCTTACCTGTAAGAGTGGGTCCAGGATTAAGTTCCACATCTCCTGATATGAAGAGGAGGATAAGAAGACAAAAAAGAGACAAAACAAGTCTAGGGCCCTTTTCTTGTGCAGTATTACCAGCACTAACTCTACTAGTTCCACAGAAAGTGTTACCAGTAGCTCTACTTCTAAAATCATTTGATTGTACCGGCAAATGGTGGGAACAGTTCCAGGATCCTATTCTAGCTCTCCACTGACACAAATCAATCATGACTGAAGAACAGTAAATAGGATCTAGATCTACAAGCAGTACTGGCGAAATCACTCGGGCGGAATGTTGAAAACCAAAACTTCCTGGCCGATTTTAATGCTACTCCCACTCATTGCAGTGAGCAAACAAAATTTTTCACATTACAATAATTTAGTTTTTAAAGAAAGAGATCAACCATTAACAGTTCTATTCTGATGCTGAAGGACTTGATTGTCTCTCCTCCTCAGAAGGAGCACTTCCATCAGAGAACTCTTCCTCTTCCTTCATCTCCTCCTCCTCTCCTTCACCTTTATCAGAACCACCTCCTAAAGAATAAAATAAAATAATAATAAATATAATAGTCATCTAGTAGTAGGAAGATGACAATGTCTTCAAAATTCATTGCTAAATTCAAAATTCATAGCATTTGAACATTCAAATGCTAGAGTGACTATTCATTTTCAAACCATTTGATTTGAAGTTTCTAACATTTCAAAGAACATTACATTATGCTTGAAATTTTAAACATAACAAAGAGAACAAGTCACACAAAGGATGGGTGTACTGCCAAAAGATGGAAAGGATGCACTGTGACTTGTGAGTGGTCAGTAGTATTATGTGTGCAAGACTACAGTGAACAGGTAATTAGATATATTAACCATACTCCACTGTTGATACCATTTTTGGTCAAAATGAGGTTTAAACACTTGTTTTGCATTGTACAGTTAGACTAATATTGTGTTTTCTTTTCTGATCTTATTGGTTTATAACTAATAGTAGTAACAGTAATATAAAAAATTACAAACGAAATACTAAATGTTTTAATTTATTTCTTTACTTTTACGTGGAGGAGGAGAGACTGAGGGAGAGACAGAGGGAGACCTTCTCTTGTGCTTCTTGTCTTTTTTAGATTCTTACTACTCCTCCTCCTCTCTGGACTAGGACTGTAGGAATAATCCCTCCCTCTATCCTTACGTCTGAAATAATAATAAATAAATAATAAAAAGAAAATAATTTCTACCTTGATGTTGATTTCCTTCTCGGTGAATGAGATCTTGAACGGCTTCTTGATCGTGAGTGTCTCCTCTTATCTTTATCATGTGACCTATAAACACAATGACAGTCAATATGTTGCTATGGTTACCAGTGATGATAGGAAGACCGGTGTGAGTGGTAGGAGTGAAATTCTTGTCCAAATCAGCTCAAACTTGCCACATAGCATGAGGACATCAATCAAAAATGCAATAATAATTTGGGGTCATTTTAGAGCCATTTTGAAAAAACCATGGGCTATAACCTTGGGTAATTTAACTGATTTTAAAAATACTGGCCCGTTTTTAAAAAAGGTCTTAACTTGAAAATTTCCTATTGGAATCGACTAAAACTTTCCACACAGCATAAGGGTATTAATATGTATCAGAAAATGTAATAAAAATTTGAGGTGATTTTGGAGCCATTTTTTAGAAAAAACCATGGGCTATAGCCTTGGGTACTTTTCGGATTTTTGGTGTTTTCTTAAAATGACCATAACTCGAAAAATTGAGGTCGGAATCAGCTCAAACTTTCTACACAGCATAAGGACATCAATAAGTATCAGAAAATGTAATAAAAATTTGAGGTGATTTTGGAGCCATTTTTTGAAAAAACCATGGGCTATAGCTTTGGGTACTTTTCGGACTTTTGGTGCTTTCTTAAAATGGCCGTAACTTGAAAAATTGAAGTCGGAATCAGCTCAAACTTGCTACACAGCATAAGAACATTAGAAAATGTAATAAAAATAGAAATTTTTCTTCCGTTCAATTTTCATTGAAATTTGGCCCAGACCATGTACTGGTACTATAGTACAGGGACTTAATCAGGCCCAATTTTGGAGCAACTTTAAAAATTCATAAAAAAATTAATTTTGATCGGAATGAGCCCAAACTTTCTACACAACATAAAAACATGTATACGTATCANAGGAGAATCATAAATCACTATTAATGAACTCAATAAATACCATTTGTGGTGTTCCCAGTAGACTGGTCTGTGGAGTGNGTAACAGAGGACCAGAATTAACTCCACCCACTTGCTACTGCTACAGCTGGTGCTGCTAAAGACATTGAGCTAATGGTTCATTTG